TCCAAAACTTTTTGAGTATCATGTTGGCACCCTAACAATTTCAGATTTCAAAGCATTTTGAATTTTCAAATTGATCGTGCTTAATTTGTATTTGAATTCAAAATTAAGATACTTAGTATGTTTTTCAGATCGTTTATCAGAAGACTATACATAATGTGGAATGCCTTTGTTATTACTTGTGATTTAAAGAAAAAAGACTTCTTTGTTAACTCAGAAATTAATAGTTAAGACTGGTTTTTACTTGCAGCAGGTCAACATTTTTAAATTCTTTTTGTAAGATGAAAAAAATCATGTGCTTAAAACAACCTAAGTGTTGATTTCTTTTCTTTCTTAATGGAGCTCTGCCTTCCTATCCCTGCAGTCCTCTTTGATCTGATACCAACCCATAAAAGATAGCAGTGTTTGTTTCATGTGTATTATCTTTTGTTTTGCTCTCTATCTAAACAAAACAATTTTCTGAAGTGTACACACATGTGACTTTTTTCGTGTATTTAATACATGTTTAATACATTATTATTAGACACTGTGCAGGAATCTACATTTTACAAGATGGTCCCCACTCATCATCATGAATCTTTTAATCTAATAGGGCAGATAAGACATATATTTAGATATGTTGAGTATTAGGCGTTGAATTTAAATGTTATACATAGTAGTGGCACGAAGTAAGGACCACAAGAGAAAGTTAATGATTGGTTTTCACAGGTGAGATACACTTTAGTTGCTTTACCTGTTGTGTTAAAAATTTTTTTTTCATGCAAACATGAGGTAAATTTATGACTAGAAATAATCATACATACTATTGTCTCATAGGTTGTTTGGAGGCTATTGTACTTCTAAACTTAGAACTTTGGAATGAGACCTAAAAATTTAATAGAAATCTGAAATCACTTAACATTTTTAATAATAATAATACAACTTGGGGGAAAATACCCAGAAACTGTAAAGTAAATAAGATAAAATATGAAGCTACTCCTATCTCAAACTTACTCTCTTCATATTACAAACATTGTTGCTATATTTTTAACAACATATTAAACATTTGTATAAATAAAAGATATTCTTGACATCCTGATAGAGGCTAGCATTTTGATAGCTAGTTCTAGGAAGACAGAGTCTTAGAGTGGCTTGCATTTCTGCAAAATGAACAGTGTCATAGGCTACAAGTAAATCATAGAAAATTTTTTTGCCTGTCTCTCTCTCCCACTGCCAGTTAATGTGTTTATTCAGTTGAGTGAGCCAGCTCTGTCAAGACTTCCCCTATGGGAGCCCAGCAGAGCCAGGGTGGAGAATAAAGACTGGATGCAAATCCAGGACACTGCGAGCAGCAGTGTCAAAGCCACAGACAAGTCGTGGCATGTCAGTCCTTGAGAACTGTGTCTTTTAGTCTTTATCAGTTCTTCAGACCCTCCCTGTACACTCTGCATGCCTGGAGCCAGCAGGTGGATCTGCAGTGACCTTTGGTGCCCTTACTCTGCTCTTTTACCATCCCACTGGAATATGAATTTTTTCTCTTTCCTGTTTGTCTTTAGGACAGAGAACTTGTGAGGGCCACTGAACCAGTTATGTTATGTTATGTTATGTTATGTTATGTTATGTTATGTTATGTTATGTTATGTTATGTTATTGAGGGGTTTCAGGAATTGAACTCAGGACCTCAGGCTTGCCAGGCAGACACTGAGCCACTGAGGTAAATCCCTGAACCCGTGCACCGGTTTATTTTATATAGCTAGATCAGTGAAGAGAGAGTGCCTAACAATATGAAGGACAAGGAAAACAATTACTTTATTTCCTTTTTAGGGTGCCCAGAATAGCTAAAGAGAAATCATGTATAGTATCCTGACCTAGAGATAATGAAAAGAAGTTATATTGATAGGAGACAGAGACACTTTCCCTGAGAAATTTTATGGTTAAAAGGTTTAACATTTTTGCAGTATAATTTATAAGAATTAAAAGGAAGATTTTTAAAAAAATGTAAACCAATTCTTAGTAGCTAGTGGAGTCAAACACTAGAGACAACTGAATTTTGAAGCTGTATAACTTCTAACTGGACAACAGTTAGCAATTTTTGTTTCCAGGCATGTTGCAACCGTGTTTTTGAGAATAGCACAGTAATTCACTGCTTTGGTGTGCTGACTTCTCCTTATCACTGTGTTTTTACTTATTATTTCTTCTGGACCAAATTTTTAAGTTGTGTTTTTCTTGTCTTTCTTTTTAATATTAAAACAAAAGTAAGTACATGCATATTAGAGGAGCAAGGAAACTGTTGGATGTTTTCATTATCTTAAATTCAGTGATGATTTTGTGAGAATGCACATGGGTCAGAGCTTAACCAAACCGTATAACTAGGTGCAGTGTATTGGGTGGCAGTTATACTTCAATAAGATGATTTAAAAATATTTTGCTGATACTATAACTAAAAGCTTGGAGTTATTTTGATGCTATATGTATTTCCCTGACTGATACTGAGGTGAGTTTTTATGAAGCCCTTTGTATTTCATTTTCTGTGAATTGTTGATTTATATCCTTTGCCTCTTTTTCTGTTGGGATATGTGTATGTGTGTCTTGTCAATTTATATAATCAATCTTGCAAAATGGTAATAACCCACTGCCTATCTTACAGTTGCTAATATTTTATCCCAGTTGATTTTTTATTTTAAAATTCATTTTTCCTTTTATTTCCTTATTTTTCTTTCCCTTTTGTCTTCCCTTCCTAACAGACATAGACAAAGCCAACATTTTGGCTGCTTGCTATCTGGTTTCCAAGTTGCTTGCTGTCTTGAAAATCCCCTATACCTCAATTATATTCCTAATTTTTCTTAGATTTTACATTTTTTGTTCTTATGTTACATTTTATTTCAAGGAGAAAAAAAAAACTAAAACAGAATTTCAAAACACGTTAATCAGGGGACAACAATCGTATATACATTGCGTGTGGTCATCTCCAAATCATTCATCCAGAGCCCAAGGGATCTGCATTCAATTGTCTGAAAAACACCAGCACAAATCTTTATTCAGGGAACTCAGAGAAATCAGTAGTATAACTACCTTAACTTTTTATACATATGCTGTTTCTTTAAGCTTTTTACACTAATGAGACTATAATGTTTACATGGCTGTCTTATTTCACTAATGAATATGGTCTCAAGTTACCTCCATTTACCTATAATAGTCTCCAGTTTATCCTTATTTATGGCTGAGTAGTATTCCACTGTATAAATATACCACATCTTTTTTTCTCTCCTATTCTTAAGTTAGATTTTGTTCCTACTGAATTTTTCTGGTAATGATGTTAGTTTTTTGGTGTGGGTAACTCAACTTTTGTAAATACCTTAAAATGTTTTCATACAAACTTGAATGTGTTTTAGAACTCTGTTCTGTTGATCTCTTTGTGCGTGCTTACTTTTCGATTACAATAGTTTATGACAAGTTTTGATTTTTTTGTTTTGTTCTTTGAGACAAGATCTCATTGTAGTGTAGGGTGGCCTTGAACTTGCTAGTAGCTCAAACTGACCTCAAACTAATGGCAATTCTCCTGCCTCAGCCTCCTGAGCTAGGATTATAGGCATGTGCCACCATGCCAGCCTATGACAAGTTTTAATGTATGACAAAACATGTCTCCTCCGAATTTTCCTTTTTTTTTTTTTTAAGATTTTCTTGGTAGTTTCCGTATAAAAACATTTAGTATGTTTTCTTTCACTAGATATCATTGGTAAAGACATTAGATACATATTTCGTTTTGAGATGTTAGCATTTTTAAATTAAATACTTGTTTAAAAAACAATTTTTATTTAGGTTTTATATTGTATGTTTACTGTGGCTGTTTACTGTCCTATTTTTCATTTTTATTTGGTATACTTAATAACATTTATCAAACATTTTAGTGGGTTTTAACAGTTTGATAAATCTGTGTGACCATCAGCCGTAATAAAATGTATAGTAATTCAGTCATTGGAGTGTTTCCGTATATCAGAATTTAGTCCTAAGCAGACTCAAGGACATTCTCATTTCTGTTTCATAGATTAATTTTTCCTGTTCTGATATTTCTTACCAGTGGAATTGTGTTGTATGTGTTATGTTGTAGCTAACGTCTTCATTCAGCACAACATTTTTTAAAGTTCTGAGTAGCATTCCATTGTATTTGTTTAGCCATCCTCCTGTTGATGTATAGTTGTTTTCAGATGGGACCATTGTGAATGAGGCTTCCATGAACATTCTTATACAGATGTTAGCGGGGACATACGGCTTCATTTCTTTTATGGTGGTTTCAGTTTTATAGTTTGCATATTCTAAGTGGTTGTAAAATGATACTTCACTTTGGTTTTAGTTTCATGTCTCTGAAGACTACCCATTCATGTGTTTTCTGCCCATTTGCATATCTTCTTGTAGAAAGTAACTGTCAAAGGTTGGTTAGCCCTCCTCACCCCAGCCCACTGAGACAGTTTTGCTGTGTAGTTCAGGTTGGCCTTGAATGAACTCTAGTCCAGACTGGCCTGAAACCTAGAGCAGTCTTCCTGCCTCAGCCAGCACGGGCCTTATTTCCAGCTTCTAGTTTTTAAAAATTTAGGTGTTTTTTATTATGATATATAACAATGTTTTATAAATCCTGGATATGTGTCTTTTGTGTACTTTTTATTTTGAATGTTTTTTTCCTAGTGTTTGTCTTATTATCTTTCAAAAAGCAGATGTTTTAAAATTCTGATCAATTCAGTATATTGATTTTTAGTGGTTCTGTTTTTTTATATGTTAAAAATGATTTGCCATTTGAAAGATTTTCCTGTGTTTATTTTTAGAAATTTTACAGTTTAGTGCTTATATTTGGATCTTTTTTCAAGTTAAATTTTACGCATTTAGAATACAAGTTGAGAAAATATTGCTTGGTTGTTGCTTTTGTTTTTTAATCTGGTATTTAGTTCATTTGTTTAAAAGGCTTTTCCCTTAATTATATGACAATGATTTAAATAAAACCTTTCTCCCTGCTTACCCCCTGTTTATTCTAGGGTAACCAGGAGCCAACAACAACTCCTGAAGCAATGGTTCAGCCTTTTACTACCATCCCATTCCCACCACCTCCACAGAACGGAATTCCTACAGAATACGGAGTGCCACACACTCAGGACTATGCCGGCCAGACCAGTGAGCATAACCTGACACTCTACGGAAGCACGCAAGGCCATGGGGAGCAGAGCAGCAACTCGCCCAGCGCACAGAACGGATCTCTTCCGGTATGTGAGTCACAAGGTGGCAGGTAGGGGAGTGCATGCCAGTCACGCCGGGATTGTCACCCTGTCATAAGACCAGAACATTCTGTAAGCTAATTTAGCATTTCCATTCCATTCCTTAGCCTGTGTGTAATTTCAGTTCTACTCCAAGCACTGTGATTAGAAGATAGGGAGTTTGAAGTAAAACTCACAGTTACTGCCCAGCAACTGTTGGTCTAGGAATGAGGCAGACAGTGGTGGCCAGGTAAGTACAGTGGGAAAAGTAACGTAGGGGATGCTGCGCTTCTCAACTTCACCGGATGTGTTGCTATGCAGAATTGCATGGACACACGTGTTCTCACCTCTACAGGCTCTCAAAGCATTTTCCAGTTGCTTCCTCCTCGAAGTGCTTAATGTCTTGAGTTTTGTGCTCTCTTATAGTTTGTCCTCAGCATTGGATACTTTGTTTGTTCTTCCTCCTCTGTTCAACTTTTAAATGCTGCAGTGTGCCAAGTTTGGGTACTGGAACCCTGTTCTTTGCTTTATATAACTAGACTACCAAATTCACTTAACTTGCTCAAGGAAATCCTAGGCGCCCTTCTTCTATTTCTTTTGTCTTTACCTGTGACCCAATAACAAGTCATGGCCACTCCAACTCTATAACTTTTTACTACTGCAGATGAAAGAGGCAGTGTTCTTTTGCCAGATGTGTAGGGCTTGAGTCTCCATATAGCCAGTTATTTAATCTCCCTCTGCCTTGAGAAGATAGGTGAAGGTCGTAGTACCTACTGTTAGGGAAAGGCAGAGGCTGTTAGAAGATTTGAGAGTTTGATTGAGGCAAGTGTTTACCATCATTGTCACCATTGTTACCGCGCCTAACTTAGCCATTCTCCACATGGCAGCCACGATGATTTTTACCTTTTAATCTGAATTGTGCTGTTTGCCTACTTAATTCTAATAGTATTCTAACGCAAGTAAATAAAACTCTGTATGAGATTTTCTAACCCTTTGCCCCAGCCCACCTCTGACCTCCAACCACTTTCTGTTTACTTGCTGAAATAAAAAGAAATGCCACAAATTAGCTGTGAGTATGTATCACATGCATATTAACAGGTAGAAAATTGTACTGTCTGTGATTTCACTCTAAGGTAAAAATGCACTCATCAAGCAAGCTATCTCTAATTTTTAGATTTCGCTTTCTTCTATCCAGTATCAGACTACCTGAAGGAGAGCTTTATTCAGACTTTAAGCCACTTAATAAGATTTACTTCCAAATAAAGATTTAGCATTATAGTGCAAACTTCTGTTACATAAAGATAGATTAAACCTACAAGTACCAGGGGACGGGTACCTGGCAGCGTGGGTACTAGAGATTCAGGGCCTTTACACTGAATTACATCCCCTGCCCTTTTTATATTTGAGATGAGGTCTTGTTAAATTGCTCAATGGCCCACATTAGGCTTGAATTTACAGCCCTCCTCTCTCAGCTTTCCAGAATATGCCTCCCTCCTCTCCTCTCCTCTCCTCTCCTTTCCCCTCCCTTCCTCTTCCCTTCTTTTCCCTTCCTTTCCCTTCCCTTGAAATCGAACCCATGACCTTATGCTTGCCAGGCAGGTGCTTATGTCACTGAGCTATATCTCAGGCCCTTGATTTCTTTTTTTGAGACAGGATCTCACTAAGTTGCTGCTAAATTGGCCGGGCTGAGCTAAGATGGACAGTTTTCCTGTCTTAGTCTCCCAGAGTACTGGGATTACAAGTGTGTGTCTCCATCCCTGACTATGTGTTAATTTCAAATGTTGAGGATTCCCAAAATTTCTTTCTTTTGTTTATTAATAATTCAATTTTTGTTGTTTGAGAACATACTTTGTATGATATAAAACTGAGACATGTTTATGATTTAGTAGGAGGTCTAGCCTACAAAACATTCTTTTGCAGTTGGCCCTTTTCTCAGTATGAAGTGTCTCTGTTTATCTCTAAGGATATTTCTTGCCTTGTCTACTTTGATAGATCACTTCAGCTGTTATATAGTTGCTGTTTGTATGACATAACTTCCATCATTTTTGTTTCAACCTCTTTGAATCTGAAACGTGTCTTTTGTTTAAAAGTTTTTCCATCTTTTTATTGGAGCATGTAGGCTGTTTATATTTTAGTATGATTATTAATATGGGTAGATTTATGTCTGTCATTTTACTGTGTCTCATGATTTTTTACTGTTGTTCCTCCATTCATCTTTACTGGTTTCTGTTAAATAATTTATTTGATTCATTGTCTTAGCAGTCCACCTTAGCACGTAAACACTTGGAAACCTACCGAGTTTGGTACTTGCCACATTTTGATGTATAATGTCCCAGGACTCATCATTTGTTTATCACACAATGCGCAAGGTTGAACTCGTCTGTGTCCACTTAATTGCATCGTGACTTACTACCCTTGACAGCCAAAACAGGTTTTTGGAATTTGTTGTGTTTAGCACTGGTTTACCTCCCAGAACTAATTAATGACAAGTATTAAGGTACTTAGTCCTTGGTCAGAGTACTTAGTTCTTGGTCTAAGGATTGCATATGCCTTTGACTTTCCACAACCTGTGGATGAGTTCATTCAGGTAAAATACAACAGCTTTGCTATTATACCCTTTCATTCTATACATTCCTTTGTGCTTTTGTGTGTACCTGTATATAGTAGAAATATAACAATACAATCATTACTTTATACAATCATACACATTGCTTGTAAAGACTTTTTTAGAGCAGTTTTAGACTCACATCAAAACTAAAAGTTGTAGGCATGTTGCTGCTCTCCTGTACATGCCTGACCTCCCCGCTAGCAGCATCCCACACTAGAGTGATATAGTGTTAAAACTGTTAAACTTACGTTCACACATCACTCAAAATCTGTAGTGTGTATTAGGGTTCATTCTTGGTACTATACATTCTATGAACTTGGATAAATATATAAAAATATTTATCATCATATACAGTAGTTTCATTGCTCTAAAAGTTCCATAGTTTATTTGTTCATCCCTTCCTCCCCAGATTCTAGTGTCAGCTGATCTTACTGTCAGCCTAGCTTTGCCTCCTCCAGAATGCAGTAGAGTTGAAATCATACAATAGGTAGCTTTTTTTGGCTTGGCTTTTTTCACTTAGTAATACGCATTTAGGATTCCTACTTTTCTTTTTTTTAAGGCTTAACAGTTCATTTCTTTTTGTTGCCCAATAATATTGTATAGTTGTTCTGTATTTATCTATTCACCTGTGGAAGGGTATCTTGGCTACTTCCAAGTTTGAACAGTTATGAATAAAGATGCTGCTGTAACAGTCATGTGTGCAGTGAACGAGAGTTTCTGTTATCCCACATCCTTGCTAGTGTTTGGTGGTGTCTGTGTACTGGATTTAGACAATTCTAGTGGAATGTCGTTGTTGCTTAAATTTTCATTTTCTTGAGGTACAGTGTGGAACATCTTTTATATGCTTATTTGACACCTGTAGATATTCTTCAGTGAGTAGTCTGTTCAGGTCTTCAGCTTTTTAATCAAGTTGTTTTCTGGTGTTGAGTTTTCAAATTCTCAGCATATTTTGAAAATAAGTTATCATTTCTGTTGATCTTCATATTGTCCTGTAGATCCAAGTTAATATCCAGTGTCATTTCCTTTCAGTATTTTCTGATAGACAAGTCTGCTTAAAACAAATTGTGTTTGTGTTAGTCTGAGAATTCTTTTGTGTGTGTATGTTTTTGTTTTTAAAGGCTAGTTGTGTCAGCTGTAAAATTCTTGGTTGACTTTCTCTTCTACCCTCTAAATATGGTAAGTGAATCCATTGCCTGCTGGCCTCTGATGAGACTCAGCTGATTCTCACCAGAGATCAACTATTAATCCTTTTTTTGGGGGGGCGGGTAGATATCGGGAATCCAACTCTGGACCTGGTGCTTGACAAGGAGGTGCTTATACCATTTTCTTTTTAGCTTTTAGCTGTTTCTCTATGATGGGTCTCTAAAGATGAATTTTTTTTTATTATACTTGAGTCTTTTGTGTTAGGTTGGTTGATTAATTTTTTTCATAAAGAAGTGAATTTTGACCTTGATTTCTTCATACATTTCTCTTTTTCTTCTTTGTTCCCGGGCCTCCCATGTCATATACTTGGAGTTTTCCTACAGACATTTTTGTTTTCTGTTTCAATCAGCAGTTTTCTGAATCTAAACAGACGTAAAGTTCTTTTTATTTTCCTTTAGTTTTTTTCTGTTTACTCTTTAAATTGTATACTTTTGTTGATCTTTTTTTTTGTAGTTCACACTTTCTTTTTTCACCTTTTCAATCTCCTATTGAATTCATCTATAGAGTGAATTTGTTATAGTACTTTTTAACTGTAATTTCCATTTATAATTTAATGTTTCTCTGTTTTGATACCCTATTTTTCTTTAATTCTTTTGGCTTTTTGAGACAGGGTCTCACAATATAGTTTATACTTGCCTTGAACTCACTATATAGTCTAGGCTGGCCTCAAACTCCCAGCCTCCCAGCCAAATTCTTTGAAATATTTATATTTGTTACTTTACCGTCATTTGCTGAATCCAACATCTGTACCTGAATTACGGTTCAGTTACTTCCAGTTATTATTTCTTTTCTTGAATCTGGGTCACACTTTCCTGTGTTTTGCAATGTTATTTTTAAAGTGAAGATTAAGCAAGTAACAGTGTAGTGACTCTGGATTTTCATTTGTTTTTCTGAGAGGGGGATGTGTTTTAAACAGTTTGGCCACTTAAATTATGGAGTCTGACACCTGCACAGTGTGAAGCCATTGATGTTTCTGCATAGTGGTTTTGTTGGTAGCAGTCACTCCTGTGTCCCCACAGCTTATAGGCCAGAGGATAGAGGTTATGCTCATGCGTCTGGAGTTTATAAAGTTTTCTCCCTCTCAGTCCAAAAGCTAGATTAAGAAGTACATTAAAGGTTCAATCTTCTCAAGTCTGCCTGGGGTTTTCCTTTTTATTGAGATGTTTCATGTCTCCCTTTCTCAATATGTAGTTTTACA